TCACTGACTACACAACCCATGTACTGCAAGTATTCTGCTGACACAGCTTCACTGACTACACAACCCATGCACTGCATGTATTCTGCTGACATGGCTTCACTGACTACACAAACCATGTACTGCATGTGTACTGCTGACATAGCTTCATTGACTACACAACCCATGTACTGCATGTATTCTGCTGACATGGCTTCACTGACTACACAACCCATGCACTGCATGTATTCTGCTGACATGGCTAGCTTCACTGACTACACAACCCATGCACTGCATGTATTCTGCAGACTGACATAGCTTCACTGACTACACAACCCATGTACTTCTGCATGTATTCTGCTGACTGACATAGCTTCACTGACTACACAACCCATGTACTGCATGTATTCTGCTGACACAGCTTCACTGACTACATTACTGTATTCCCATGTACTTTCATGTATTCTGCTGACTAACATAGCTTCACTGACTACACAACCTACTTCGTACCCATGTACTGCATGTATTCTGCTGACATGGCTTTCACTGACTACAATAACTGATTCACCCATGCACTGCATGTATTCTGCTGACATAGCTTTACTGACTACAATAACCCATGTACTGCCATGTATTCTGCTGACATAGCTTCACTGACTACAATAACCCATGCACTGCATGTATTCTTGACACAGCTTCACTGACTACACAACCCATGCACTGCATGTATTCTGCTGACATGGCTTCACTGACTACTAATAACCCATGTACTGCATGTATTCTGCTGACATAGCTTCACTGACTACACAATAAACCCATGTACTGCATGTATTCTGCTGACATAGCTTCACTGACTACACAACCCATGTACTGCATGTATTCTGCTGACTGACATAGCTTCACTGACTACACTGACTTAAACCCATGTACTGCATGTATTCTGCTGACATGGCTTCACTGACTACACAACCCATGCACTGCATGTATTCTGCTAACATAGTTTCACCAACTACACAACCCATGTACTGCATGTATTCTGCTGACATGGCTTCACTGACTACACAACCCATGTACTGCATGTATTCTGCTGACATGGCTTCACTGACTACAATAACCCATGTACTGCATGTATTCTGCTGACATAGCTTCACTGACTACAATAACCCATGTACTGCATGTATTCTGCTGACATAGCTTCACTGGACTACACAACCCATGTACTGCATGTATTCTGCTGACATAGCTTCACTGACTACACAACCCATGTACTGCATGTATTCTGCTGACATAGCTTCACTGACTACACACAACCCATGCACTGCATGTATTCTGCTGACACAGCTTCACTGACTTCACACAACCCATGCACTGCATGTATTCTGCTTGACACAGCTTCACTGACTACACAACCCATGCACTGCATGTATTCTGCTGACATAGCTTCACTGACTACACAACCCATGTACTGCATGTATTCTGCTGACACAGCTTCACTGACTTCACAACCCATGCACTGCATGTATTCTGCTGACATAGCTTTACTGACTACACAACCCATGTACTGCATGTATTCTGCTGACATATTTTCACCAACTGCCAACCCATGTACTGCATGTATTCGGCTGACATGGCTTCACTGATTAATAATAACCCATGCACTGCATGTATTCTGCTGACATGGCTTCACTGGACACACAACCCATGTACTGCATGTATTCGGCTGACATAGTTTCACCAACTGCCAACCCATGTACTGCATGTATTCGGCTGACATGGCTTCACTGACACACAACCCATGCACTGCATGTATTCTGCTGACATGGCTTCACTGACACACAACCCATGCACTGCATGTATTCTGCTGACATGGCTTCACTGACTACACAACCCATGTACTGCATGTATTCTGCTGACACAGTTTCACTGACTACACAACCCATGTACTGCATGTATTCTGCTGACATGGCTTCACTGACTACACAACCCATGTACTGCATGTATTCTGCTGACACGGCTTCACTGACTTCACAACCCATGTACTGCATGTATTCTGCTGGAACAGCTTCACTGACTATACAACCCATGTACTGCATGTATTCTGCTGACATAGCTTCACTGACTACACAACCCATGTACTGCATGTATTCTGCTGACACAGCTTCACTGACTTCACAACCCATGCACTGCATGTATTCTGCTGACATAGCTTCACTGACTACACAACCCATGTACTGCATGTATTCTGCTGACATGGCTCACTGACTACACAACCCATGTACTGCATGTATTCGGCTGACATGGCTTCACTGACTACACAACCCATGTACTGCATGTATTCTGCTGACATAGCTTCACTGACTACACAACCCATGTACTGCAAGTATTCTGCTGACACAGCTTCACTGACTACACAACCCATGCACTGCATGTATTCTGCTGACATGGCTTCACTGACTACACAAACCATGTACTGCATGTGTACTGCTGACATAGCTTCATTGACTACACAACCCATGTACTGCATGTATTCTGCTGACATGGCTTCACTGACTACACAACCCATGCACTGCATGTATTCTGCTGACATGGCTTCACTGACTACACAACCCATGCACTGCATGTATTCTGCAGACTGACATAGCTTCACTGACTACACAACCCATGTACTGCATGTATTCTGCTGACTGACATAGCTTCACTGACTACACAACCCATGTACTGCATGTATTCTGCTGACATGCTTCACTGACTACACAAACCCATGTACTGTATCTCTGCTGACTGACATAGCTTCACTGATTCACAATAAACCCATGTACTGCATGTATTCTGCTGACATGGCTTCACTGACTACACAACCCATGCACTGCATGTATTCTGCTGACATAGCTTTACTGACTACACAACCCATGTACTGCATGTATTCTGCTGACATAGCTTCACTGACTACACAACCCATGCACTGCATGTATTCTGCTGACACAGCTTCACTGACTACACAACCCATGTACTGCATGTATTCTGCTGACATAGCTTCACTGACTACACAACCCATGCACTGCATGTATTCTGCTGACACAGCTTCACTGACTACACAACCCATGTACTGCATGTATTCTGCTGACACAGCTTCACTGACTACACAACCCATGTACTTCATGTATTCTGCTGACTGACATAGCTTCACTGACTACACAACCCATGTACTGCATGTATTCTGCTGACATAGCTTCACTGACTACACAACCCATGCACTGCATGTATTCTGCTGACACAGCTTCACTGACTACACAACCCATGCACTGCATGTATTCTGCTGACACAGCTTCACTGACTTCACAACCCATGCACTGCATGTATTCTGCTGACACAGCTTCACTGACTACACAACCCATGCACTGCATGTATTCTGCTGACATGGCTTCACTGACTACACAACCCATGTACTGCATGTATTCTGCTGACATGGCTTCACTGACTACACAACCCATGCACTGCATGTATTCTGCAGACTGACATAGCTTCACTGACTACACAACCCATGTACTGCATGTATTCTGCTGACTGACATAGCTTCACTGACTACACAACCCATGTACTGCATGTATTCTGCTGACACAGCTTCACTGACTACACAACCCATGTACTTCATGTATTCTGCTGACTGACATAGCTTCACTGACTACACAACCCATGTACTGCATGTATTCTGCTGACATGGCTTCACTGACTACACAACCCATGCACTGCATGTATTCTGCTGACATAGCTTTACTGACTACACAACCCATGTACTCCATGTATTCTGCTGACATAGCTTCACTGACTACACAACCCATGCACTGCATGTATTCTGCTGACACAGCTTCACTGACTACACAACCCATGTACTGCATGTATTCTGCTGACATAGCTTCACTGACTACACAACCCATGCACTGCATGTATTCTGCTGACACAGCTTCACTGACTTCACAACCCATGTACTGCATGTATTCTGCTGACATAGCTTCACTGACTACACAACCCATGCACTGCATGTATTCTGCTGACACAGCTTCACTGACTTCACAACCCATGCACTGCATGTATTCTGCTGACACAGCTTCACTGACTACACAACCCATGCACTGCATGTATTCTGCTGACATAGCTTCACTGACTACACAACCCATGTACTGCATGTATTCTGCTGACACAGCTTCACTGACTTCACAACCCATGCACTGCATGTATTCTGCTGACATAGCTTTACTGACTACACAACCCATGTACTGCATGTATTCTGCTGACATAGTTTCACCAACTGCCAACCCATGTACTGCATGTATTCGGCTGACATGGCTTCACTGACACACAACCCATGCACTGCATGTATTCTGCTGACATGGCTTCACTGACACACAACCCATGTACTGCATGTATTCGGCTGACATAGTTTCACCAACTGCCAACCCATGTACTGCATGTATTCGGCTGACATGGCTTCACTGACTGTATTCTGCTGACATGGCTTCACTGACACACAACCCATGCACTGCATGTATTCTGCTGACATGGCTTCACTGACTACACAACCCATGTACTGCATGTATTCTGCTGACATGGCTTCACTGACACACAACCCATGTACTGCATGTATTCTGCTGACATGGCTTCACTGACTACACAACCCATGTACTGCATGTATTCTGCTGACATGGCTTCACTGACACACAACCCATGCACTGCATGTATTCTGCTGACATGGCTTCACTGACTACACAACCCATGCACTGCATGTATTCTGCTGACATAGCTTCACTGACTTGTACTGCATGTATTCTGCTGACATGGTTTCACACACATGGCTTCACTGACACACAACCCATGCACTGCATGTATTCTGCTGACATGGCTTCACTGACTACACAACCCATGTACTGCATGTATTCTGCTGACATGGCTTCACTGAACTACACAACCCATGTACTGCATGTATTCTGCTGACATGGCTTCACTGACTACACAAGCCATCAACTAACCTGATCCTCTCCACAAAGTGGTTGAAGTTGTCCAGAGTTGTTATGTTATAGTTGTATACTTCAAACTCCACATCTGGGTTGATATCCCTACAATGACAATGAAATGCAAAATAATATACATGTATGCTCTATACACTATCAATAAACATGCTCCAAACTATGCTCTAAAAATATCAAGGTGTCATATACAGGAACAGATACAGTTGTTTGAGAAAGGGAAGTGCACAGTGCGTTTTCACTTGATTTCACGAGAGTTTAATGGTCATTTAATAAACTTTCAGGACAAAAAGCGGGGGAGGGCACTCTCCTGCACACACACGCACGCACGGATACACCTCTTGATCCGCTCACTTCTGCTGTCCACCAGAAACCTTCAGATGTCATGCACCATCTGTGTGGACTTATGGCTATTAGACACCTGGAGGTGTCATGCACCATCTGACTGTGTGTACTTATGGCTATCAGACACCTTGAGGTGTCATGCACTCATCTGACTGTGTGTACTTATGGCTATTAGACACCTGGAGGTGCCATACACCCATGTGACTGTGTGTACTTATGTATATTAGACACCGGGAGGTGTCATACACCCATGTGACTGTGTGTACTTATGTATATTAAGACACCTTGAGATGTAATGCACCCATCTGCATGTACTTATGGCTATTAGACATCTGGAGATGTCATACACCCATCTGACGGTGTGTACTTATGTATATTAGATACCCTCAGATGTCATGCACCCATCTGTGTGTACTTATGGCTATTTGACATCTAGAGATGTCATACACCCATCTGGGTGTACTTATGGCTATGAGACACCTGGAGATGCCATACACCCACTGTGTGTATTTATGGCTACTAATCTGACTGTGTGTACTTATGTATATTACATACCTTCAGATGTCATGCACCCATCTGACTGTGTGTACTTATGTATATTAAGAGACCTAGAGATGTCATACACCCATCTGACTGTACTTATGGCTATTAAGAGACCTGGAGATGTCATACACCCATCTGACTGTCTGTATTTATGGCTACTAGATACCTTCAGATGTCATGCACCCATCTGTGTGTACTTATGGCTATTAGACACCTTCAGATGTCATGCACCCATCTGACTGTGTGTACTTATGGCTACTAGACACCTTCAGATGTCATGCACCCATCTGACTGAGTGTACTTATGGCTATTATACACCTGGGGGTGTCATGCATTCATCTGACCGTTTGTACTTATGGCTACTAGACACCTTCAGATGTCATGCACCCATCTGTGTGTACTTATGGCTATTAGACACCTTCAGATGTCATGCACCCATCTGACTGTGTGTACTTATGGCTACTAGACACCTGGAGATGTCATGCATTCATCTGACTGTGTGTACTTATGGCTATTATACACCTGGGGGTGTCATGCATTCATCTGACTGTGTGTACTTATGGCTACTAGACACCTGGAGATGTCATGCATTCATCTGACTGTGTGTACTTATGGCTATTATACACCTGGGGGTGTCATGCATTCATCTGACCGTTTGTACTTATGGCTACTAGACACCTGGAGATGTCATGCATTCATCTGACTGTGTGTACTTATGGCTATTAGACACCTGGAGATGTCATGCACCCATCTGACTGTGTGTACTTATGGCTACTAGACACCTGGAGATGTCATGCACCCATCTGACTGTGTGTACTTATGGCTATTATACACCTGGGGGTGTCATGCATTCATCTGACTGTGTGTACTTATGGCTATTAGACACCTGGAGATGTCATGCACCCATCTGACTGTGTGTACTTATGGCTATTAGACACCTGGAGATGTCATGCATTCATCTGACTGTGTGTACTTATGGCTACTAGACACCTTCAGATGTCATGCACCCATCTGACTGTGTGTACTTATGGCTATTATACACCTGGGGGTGTCATGCATTCATCTGACTGTGTGTACTTATGGCTATTAGACACCTGGAGATGCCATGCACTCATCTGACTGTGTGTACTTACGGCTATTAGACACCTGGAGATGCCATGCACTCATCTGACTGTGTGTACTTATGGCTATTAGACACCTGGAGATGCCATGCACTCATCTGACTGTGTGTACTTATGGCTATTAGACACCTGGAGATGTCATGCACCCATCTGACTGTGTGTACTTATGGCTATTAGACACCTGGAGATGTCATGCACCCATCTGACTGTGTGTACTTATGGCTACTAGACACCTTCAGATGTCATGCACTTATCTGACTGTCTGTACTTATGGCTACTAGACACCTGGAGATGCCATGCACTCATCTGACTGTGTGTACTTATGGCTACTAGACACCTGGAGATGTCATGCACTCATCTGACTGTGTGTACTTATGGCTATTAGACACCTGGAGATGTCATGCACCCATCTGACTGTGTGTACTTATGGCTACTAGACACCTTCAGATGTGTTGCACTTATCTGACTGTTTGTACTTATGGCTACTAGACACCTGGAGATGCCATGCACTCATCTGACTGTGTGTACTTATGGCTATAGACACCTTCAGATGTCATGCACCCATCTGTCTGTGTGTACTTATGGCTACTAGACACCTGGAGATGCCATGCACTCATCTGACTGTGTGTACTTATGGCTATTATACACCTTCAGATGTCATGCACTAATCTGACTGTGTGTACTTATGGCTATTAGACACCTGGAGGTGTCATGCACTCATCTGACTGTACTTATGGCTACTAGACACCTTCAGATGCCATGCACCCATCTGACTGTGTGTACTTATGGCTATTAGACACCTTCAGATGTCATGCACCCATCTGACTGTGTGTAGTTATGGCTACTAGACACCTTCAGATGTCATGCACCCATCTGACTGTGTGTACTTACGGCTATTAGATATCTTCAGATGTCATGCACTTATCTGACTGTGTGTACTTATGGCTATTAGACACCTGGAGATGCCATGCACTCATCTGACTGTGTGTACTTATGGCTATAGACACCTTCAGATGTCATGCACCCATCTGACTGTGTGTACTTATGGCTATTAGACACCTGGAGGTGTCATGCACTCATCTGACTGTTTGTACTTATGGCTTTTAGACACCTGGAGGTGTCATGCACTCATCTGACTGTGTGTACTTATGGCTACTAGACACCTTCAGATGCCATGCACCCATCTGACTGTTTGTACTTATGGCTATTAGACACCTTCAGATGTCATGCACCCATCTGTCTGTGTGTACTTACGGCTATTAGACATCTTCAGATGTCATGCACTTATCTGACTGTGTGTACTTATGGCTATTAGACACCTGGAGGTGTCATGCACTCATCTGACTGTGTGTACTTATGGCTATTAGACACCTGAAGGTGTCATGCACCCATCTATGTGTACTTATGGCTATTAGACACCTTCAGATGTCATGCACCCATCTGACTGTGTGTACTTATGGCTACTAGACACCTTCAGATGTCATGCACCCATCTGACTGTGTGTACTTATGGCTATTATACACCTGGGGGTGTCATGCATTCATCTGACCGTTTGTACTTATGGCTACTAGACACCTGGAGATGTCATGCACCCATCTGACTGTGTGTACTTATGGCTATTAGACACCTTCAGATGTCATGCACCCATCTGACTGTGTGTACTTACGGCTATTAGACATCTTCAGATGTCATGCACCCATCTGACTATATATATTGTTACCCTTAAGATAAATTTGTCGAATTCTGATTGGTCAGTAGTCAAAGCATACGAAACCATACACCCTGTCAAATCTGTCTGGTGACACACTATGTAGGTTGTACGAAGGACCTTGAACTCAGATGCAATGTGGCTGCCAAATGGCTGATCGCTTCGAAATTTTAGAGTTGGCGTATTCAATTATGAGCATACACAGAGTAATAAAATTGTTGCCATAATTTCTTATTTGTTTGTGTCCATAAATATATCCAAGATATAAAAAGTTAAATTCGATAATTTTGTCATAAACTAAGCCATCCTAAGTTATCTCCCTTTATGACCGTTTTGGAAAAATCATGGCGAAACGTTTTGCGTCTCGTTCTGCCGATGATTGAATGTTGTTGTTTAAAGATAAGCTAAATAAAAAGATCTTAAGGGTAATAAATTCGTCACACAGTTTTTTGAAAGAGTGTACCGGACTGTAAGACCCTTGTATATTCCGTATTTCCTTCGGCTGCGGAAATATACGGAATTTACAAGGCTCTTACAGTCCCGTACACGCTTTCAAAACACCGTGTAACTTATAGTGTCTGGAGGAACTACTATGACATGACATACCTAAGTGTGCGTTCTGCTGCTTCCACTTTACTCATGCCAGCCTGGCTGGGCTGATAGAAGAGTCTGTTCATGTTAGCTAGTTCCACTTTGTCATAGTCGAACAGTAGAAGCTGAGGAACAACAACATCAACACCAAGAGTGAATCAGTTAAAACCAATGCCAACATCTGCAGTATATCAGCCATATTATGACTGGAGCTAGTTACTGAGTAATAACAAACGAGGTGTACACAGGTGAGTGTTCGCAAACTCTATCTGGTCACAGACATACAGTAGAAGATGAGGAACATCAATAAGGGGTTTACAAATGTGAATGATAGCTAGCTCTGTCTGGTCAGAAATAAACAGAAGATGAGGAACATCAGAAGCGATTTACAAATGTGAATGATAGCTAGCTCTGTCTGGTCAGGAATAAACAGAAGATGAGGAACATCAATAAGGGGTTTACAAATGTGAATGATAGCTAGCTCTGTCTGGTCAGGAATAAACAGAAGATGAGGAACATCAGAAGCGGTTTACAAATGTGAATGATAGCTAGCTCTGTCTGGTCAGGAATAAACAGAAGATGAGGAACATCAATAAGGGTTTACAAATGTGAATGATAGCTAGCTCTGTCTGGTCAGGAATAAACAGAAGATGAGGAACATCAATAAGGGGTTTACAAATGTGAATGATAGCTAGCTCTGTCTGGTCAGGAATAAACAGAAGATGAGGAACATCAATAAGGGGTTTACAAATGTGAATGATAGCTAGCTCTGACTGGTCAGGAATAAACAGAAGATGAGGAACATCAATAAGGGGTTTACAAATGTGAATGATAGCTAGCTCTGTCTGGTCAGGAATAAATAGAAGATGAGGAACATCAATAAGGGGTTTACAAATGTGAATGATAGCAAGCTCTGTCTGGTCAGGAATAAACAGAAGATGAGGAACATCAATAAGGGGTTTACAAATGTGAATGATAGCAAGCTCTGTCTGGTCAGGAATAAACAGAAGATGAGGAACATCAATAAGGGGTTTACAAAATGTGAATGATAGCTAGCTCTGTCTGGTCAGGAATAAATAGAAGATGAGGAACATCAATAAGGGGTTTACAAATGTGAATGATAGCAAGCTCTGTCTGGTCAGGAATAAACAGAAGATGAGGAACATCAATAAGGGGTTTACAAATGTGAATGATAGCAAGCTCTGTCTGGTCAGGAATAAACAGAAGATGAGGAACATCAATAAGGGGTTTACAAATGTGAATGATAGCAAGCTCTGTCTGGTCAGGAATAAACAGAAGATGAGGAACATCAATAAGGGGTTTACAAATGTGAATGATAGCAAGCTCTGTCTGGTCAGGAATAAACAGAAGATGAGGAACATCAATGAGGGGTTTACAAATGTGAATGATAGCTAGCTCTGTCTGGTCAGGAATAAACAGAAGATGAGGAACAACAACAGTGGGTTCACACAGATGAATGTGCATCAGCTCCATCTGATTAAAGAAAAAAATTAGAAGATGAATGAAAAAAAATGTTCGTTTTGTTTTCTTTCAATAAGTCATACCTATTCAAGAAATGATATGGCGGAAATACCAGTGATTACTGCTGATGTTCATATAAGTTTTAACTCACTCACTCACTCAATTTTTTTTAATTGTTTCAACTGTTTGATTACACAATAGAGCAAGCTGACATTTACCTGTGCAAACTTCTCTTTGTTTGGTGTGGGTGAAGATTTAACGGGTTTCATTTGTCATCCCATTAGCAAAGTGAATAAAACCATGGTAAATCTCCATTGTAAATAACTGCCACCTTACCTTTCCTATGCCGCACCTGGCCAACATCTCTGCTGTTACACTCCCAACTCCGCCAACACCAACAACAGCCACAGTGAAATCACGGATTTTCTTTTTGGAGCAAATGAAAAAAGTGTTGGCTATTAACATTCAATTGATTCATGGGATAAGATTTCCAGAGTGGATTGTTCCTTCAAACAGTGATGTGGCAAGGAGTAGAAATGATTTCAAAATGTTAATTCTAGTGCTACACTACTGACACAAAATTGAGGAAACTAGTGATCTAACAATACCTTTTTATATCCCCCTGGCATAAAATGCCTCATCTGTCTCTCTGTCTGTGTGTCCGTCCGTAATCATTTCGTCTTTGATATATCTAACAGAACCTTAAGTGGTGCCTTTTGCTACTTATAGATTTTTAGTATTTTTATTTTTTCACTTTCCATGGAAACAATTTGGACTATTCAATAAGTCTCAATAAGGGGTGGATTTGGTTTCCAGAGCATAACTTGAGAACCATTCAATATCTTTCAACAAAACTTGGCAGATATATCAAACAGATCCCGAAAGTGGTGCTATTTGATATATGAAGATTTTTGGCATGTATGTTTTTCTCGATTTGCATGGAAACCATTTGGACGTATTCCCAAAAGTTACAGATCCCCAAGTGATGCCTTTTGCTATTTGTGGATTATTAAAATTTGTATTTTTCCTTTGACTTTGATACTGGTGTGTAGTTGACATACAAGAACAAATTTATGAATCCCAATCCTATGTTATTGTATACTCTCATAAACTTGGAATTAACTACACATTCGGGTGGCAAATCTAGATTGATATCCATTGCAAGATTCTGGTCTCTGAGTGCCAAGAGTTGGTGACTACCATATTGCAGCTGTGACGGGACGTAAAAGCCTCCATGGCAACCGTCAGAACAACTTTCTCCAGGAGCTGCAAAACTGCCAGAACTAATGTGTTCAAGACACAAGAAGTCAGAAGGAGATGTCACATGCCTTCACTGTTCATACTCCAACACATACACAACGTCTCACAACATGAAGACGTATTAAACTTAAGTAATGTCACGAGAAACGAGAGCTCTGACAATATGTTGCTACTGTACAGCGCCACCTACCTAACAGCTCCCAGTCCGACCCTAGTCCTATTAATCTACTGAAATTGTTATTGTTCTCAGCCAAAAGGGTTTTTTTTGTGCAAAATATTCAAGAGTGAGATCTCAATTTCAGCTGCAGTACAGTCAGTAACTGCAAAACTTATGCTCCTTTCCAGCAAATTGGAAATTTTAATATAAATTGTATATTTATAAACTTATCCTATCTCACGACTTGCACCTCTCTCTTGCTTCGGCTTTTAGTGGAACTGTAAAGTTTTTTCCATAGACCTCCTTGTCCATTCGCCCGTGCACTCAATGCTGCTCTCCTTAATTAGCTTCCTAGTTCCTAATAAAGCTTGCAGCATGCTCCACTAATTGCCCACGTGACTACCTTGAATGATCATTCTCATCTTAGAGCCAACGTTGTAATCTGATTAGTGGGGAGGCAGGGCGGGCATCCATCGCGTAAGATAGGATAAGTATATAAATATACAATTTATATTAAAATTTCCAAATTTTTTAAACTTATCCTATCTCACGACTTGCACTTATCCCACGGTTGGACGGCGGGCCGCAGATTACTCTTCTGTCTGGACAGTGCGAACAGCTAGACTTGGAGTTGTGTGGACTGATGACAACCGTAGATAGCGATGTACAAATGAGGCCTGTTACGCATGCACGCAACTCCTATGCTTGTTGTGGGTTCTCCGGAACCCCTTGGCTTACTAAGCACAACAACTCCCAGGGAGATGGGTACTCCCGAGCGATGTGGTGTTCGGCCGCAACCTTGTACAAGACAAGGGACGCAACTCGGCAAGTAGGCCTCGCCTCACCACAATTTACAAGGTACCCCTGTAATTAAAGTCTTGCGACTAGAATCGGGTCAGACCCTGCTTCAAGGAGGCCCCCCAGACACCGACCGAGGCAGGTGAAAGAGAAACACAACTCGGCATCTCCAAGGTTTAACGTTCAGTTCCGGGCAGCATTAAATTGACCTAAGCTTAGTCGAAGGATGTGCCCGGTAACTTTGGAGGCAGAACGCAACGAAATCCACTGGAATTCGGGAGTGTCACACTGACGTAATTGCTCCGTGGAGTAGAGGTCAGTAAGCGTGAATGTCGAACACCTCTGCATCGTCATACTCATTGTGCCTCAGGTCTGTAGGGCCACGATAGGTGGCCATATTCCAATGCCTTGGTATGGAGTAGTGTTGGGAATTGGTTTAAATCTCATAATTGATGACTGATTCATTACAACCGATCAATCATCGAAAATAATTGGTTAGCGTCATTTACCAAATCTTCCTAACTGTGTGTGTTAATGCACAAAGAAATCTAGGAAAAAACATGGGTTTGGGGTTTTTTTATTTTGCAACTTGCACAAAATGCATTTGCAAATTTCACACCTTTAAAGAAAGATTAGTATGTTAGGAACATAAACTCCTGGATTCTTTAAGATAAATTCAATCATGACTTGGAAGGAGCTCGTAATGCTTATGAAATGTAACAGACGAAACCAACCTTGTGAAAAATATTGTTAATGCAAACAAGTGTAACAGAATTGCCTGTGTTCGATTACGAGAAAACATGATCGATTGCTTGGTCGTTTGATCACTGCAACCAATCTTCAATTATTTCAATTAATCGGACAACTACTAGTATGGACGCCAAGTGAAGTAGTTCTTAAACCCATATAATGAATACAAAAGGTTGAGATCCAGTTCAACTTTTATTGAGTGTTTTCAAGGAAGCAGTAACGCAAATGCGGAACCGTCCCTCATCTGCGTTGTCCGGCCGATGTAAGCTGCTGAGCACCAGTACAAGAGGCCCAAACTGGTGTAGTCCCTGGACATCCGTGACAGACAGGTGTCGCAGGTAATGTGAACAGAAGACTGTATCAGAACGCCAAGGCAACCTTCCATGATAGCAGTCAAGCAGTAGTTGCTATGGAGGGCCATCGTCGAGGCTAGTGCACGAGTCTCATGACAAATCTTCGCGCCCGTGGTGGTAGCCAAAACCGAGTTGATGGCGGCTAAGTAGGTAGCTAACATAGTACCCTTGAATTTGTTAGTAGTGCGGAGATGCTGGAGAAACTCAGCAACGACCTGAGCCGAGGTGGAAGTGGGAAATGCAATTCCCCTAACCTTGCAATAGTCTTCAAACTTCTTCCACTTGTTGTCGTACAAGGAACAGGCCGAAGTACGATGCGTTGAAGTGATAGCTGTGGCTGCTCGTCAAGAGTAGCCCTTAGCTATGAGAGACCTCTGATGATGCGCCAATCGTGTAGATTGAGGGTCTGAGGTGACCCGCGGCAAAGTTCCGAGTGAGGGCGAAGAAGTAGGTCGTCCTGGTTGGGAAGCAGTACTGGGTTTGGCTCTGCCAGGCTTCTTAGGTTGACAAACCTTGTGGCAAACAGATCTATTTGAGGCCGTGATAACGGGTAGATCATCAACTGAAAGATCTGGGGCAGTAACTTCCACTTTGTCGGGGATGGGCGGTTGGATCAGGACAAGGCATTGGCGATCACATTTTTTACCCCGGGAATGTGTCTGGCTCTGGCTACGATGTTGAGTGAGATGGAAGAACCTGATTGCCCATTGTAGCAGATTCGCCGAGCCTGTCTAGCCTAGATGATTTATATACCAAACCACTGTCGAATTGTCTGATTGGATCAACAGACTGGTTGATTGAAGATCTGTTGCCCAATGTTAGATGGCTTGAATTACCGCCTTGAATTCCAGCTCATTTATATGAAGTACCCGTTCGTTGAATGACCACAGCCCGGCCACTTGGTGGTTGAGGAAGTGAGCTCCCCAACCCATGAGGGATGCATCGACGAATTGGTGATGAGTCGGTGCAAAGGGCATCATAGAGACTCCGGCGCAAACATTCCGTTCGTCGAGCCACCATTAAAGGACTGGACGAAGCAGTTCTGGAAGGCAAATTAGTTCCTTGGGGTTGTCGGCTTGAAGGTACGGGCATAGAAATCACTGTATGGGCCGAAGTTGGAGCTGGCCTCTGTACGTTAAGGCTTGAGCTGACGTCAGAAGGCCCAGTAGCTCCTGCCACTGTCGTAAGGCATGGTGGTCAACTGTAGCTGGCGAAGCAATACGATCGGATCCTGTTGAGCCTGGATGCAATCATCTATGTAGCTTTCGAAGGTGATCCCTTGAAAGTGGAGGAAGCTCGTTATGGGCTTGGTAATTCGGGTAAAAAGCCACGGGGCCGTGGAAATTCCAAATGGTAGGACTTTCCATTGGTAGTGATTCCCATTGAAGCGAAGGTATGTTCTGGATGTATCGGAACATGAAGATAAGCATCCTGAAGATCTAGGCTGATGAGAAAAGTCTCCCTTCTTCAGGATGGTGCATAAAAGGTTGATCGACACCATCCTGAAGAGTGTGGTGGAAGCATTGAACAACTTCATATTAAAGATGAACCGGAGTTTGTTGGAATTTTTCTTTGGAACCAAGAAAATGGGGGAGTAGAATCCTGGAGTGACGGGCGATGGACCTAGGAGCTCTAACGCGAGTTTGTATATGTATAATAGCGTACCTATTGTGGATTGCAGAGTCTGAAACTGGTCCACAGGATTTGATGGATGCAACGTCAGAGGTGGACTGCCAATAACGGGTAGCTGATAGCCGTGAAGTAGCAGGTTGGTGACATAAGATCTCTGAGGATGGTCCAATTTGGGGCGAAGATCTGTAATCTCCCGATCTGTAAATCAGAACGATTGTCTCAAGCTGTCACTGCTTTCCGGCGCTGGTCCCTGGGCCAGAGTTGACAACAACAAAAAAACACCACGGCCAGATCTGTTTCCTCTGCCACGGCCTTGAGTGGATGCGCCACGAAAAAGATTGCGTTAATCCAGATTGGTAGGGGTGCACTGTGCAGTTCAACGCTGTTTTAATGAATCCTGGAGCTGTGACTTCTGTATCTTTAACAGTTCAATCGAGACTTGAAAGAGGGTTTCTTTATCAATTTGGGAAGATATTTCTTGGATGCTACCATTGAAGAGGGAGTCAGTAAACCAAGGCTGGCGAAACAGTTCTGTTTTAAATCGCTCCTCCCATGAAGAGATGTTAAAGGGTCCACGTCGGCACAGCAAGAGTGGAGCCCAAAAAATGAGACAACTGATCCAGGATAATTTGGAACTGGTCCAGAGCTAAAGTCATGCATCCTCGGATGTAAGCGTCTTGATCAGAATAAGTATGCTCCAGAGCAGTGCTAATAGCGTCAACTGCTGCAATCACGCAACTAATCGATGGCAACGTCTTTCTGACGGCTGAATCCATGTGAGCCAACTCTCGGTCCTCAATAAGGTAGGGCGAAGCAGCTCGTTTGCCACACAGGGTTCCAATATCCTCATCAACTGTTGGAGCCGTAAAGATTTTTGTTAGGCCGTGGACATGAGAGGTAGAAGGATTATATCTGGGAGCAGAGAATCCGTCCTTAATTCGTTTCAGGCTCTTGAAACCATCATTTAGTGTACTGGATAATTTCAGAATACAAGGTCGAGGTGGTAGGGTGATGGTAGACCAATCCCGGTTCCTAAGAATATAAGAGTGATCAAGGTCATCTGCTGAAGTACTCAAGGGAAGTTGGAGCTTCTCAACAATCCAAAGGAGTACCTGAGGTGTCTCAACTGTGGTTAACCATATCAGATTCGATTTATAATCGAATCTGGACCAGACAATCCAGTGATCAACAGCATGAGCATCAATCTACACAATTGAGAGATGATGACATGTGTCAACCAAGTCAGCAAGTCTACCACCCGATCCCGTTAGTCGCCTCTTACGACCAGCATGGGTTACTGAACATCAATTCTAACCCGGATCTTCACAGGTCCAATGTATGCAAGATGAAAGAGGGTCATGTAAAGATAAAGTAGAAAACATCTACCACAAACTACCCTCTACATGAGATATGCATCCTAACCCAACCACTTTTCATTAACTTTTAATGTTTCTAATAATATGTTGTTAAAGTTCCTAGTTATCTTAACTGCAATTACTAATATTTCTTATATCTTCTTTTCTTTTCAAAGATGAAACAAAAATCCCAGTATCTGAGGTGAGGTGAGGTGAAATTGGGTTTAACGTCGTGCCTGAGAATATTTCGCTCATATGACGACGTGCATGCATGTGTATGTGTAGGTGCGGCTGCTTGTACTAGCCCAGACTTAAGCTGTTTTTATAGTGCTAGCCCACTGAGATACCACGCCACAGTGAAGCATGAATACCCCACGCAGACACATTATACTGACTCAGAGCCGACCAGTCCTTGTTGTACCCATTAATGCCGAACGCCAGGCAGGGACCAACAAGTACCATATTTTAACGTCTTTTGGTATGACGCGGTCGGGGATCGAACCTGCAACCTTCCGCTCTCCGGGTGGACGCTCTAACCACTACACCACAGAGGCTGTCCCCAGTATCTGAAGAGATTTAAGAGATATAATCGAAAAAAGAATCTCTATATAAGACTGCAGCCCTGGGCAGTAAGAAAGCGAAAGATGTCTGCTGGGTCGACCAGGGCAAGACATACATGAGATTTACCGTAACTGCTTATAACAAATTGAGCTTTGGTGTGTTTGGGCAAGGTGTTACAAGAGGCTGAAAATTTTGTTTCATGTAGTTTAAACTCCTTGTTCTTCTCAGAGACAGTGCATAATGAGAGATAAGATAACTTTTAAAAATTTAAATCATTCACTTGTCAAAATAACAAGTGTTTGCCACTGATATGGCAATGTCCCCCGCTGCTAAAGAATGAAATATATATAACACATTTACTACTTTTGATTTTTTGGTCACATACAAGATGCCTGGAATGATTGGTGTCTACATAATCACCCAATGTAGGCTGTCGCCATAATTGAAGACATTGGGTGCAAGGTTTACAAAGAGTTTGAAAAGTGGTCAAAGTGTCATGGTGACCTTGAAAATAAGGTCAAGGTCACTAAAGTTGACTGGTGTCTGGGTAATCCCGCAATGCAGGCTGCCACCAAATTTGAAGTCATTGGGTACAACAGTTCATGAGATATCGCGTTAACAAGAGTTGCAAAAGTGGTCAAAATAAGGTCAAGGTTACCAAAATCAACTGGTGTCTGCATAATCTCCCAATGTAGGGTGTCACCAATTTGAAGACATTGAGTACAACAGTTCATGAGATATCATGTTAACAAGAGTTTCAAAAGTGGTCAAAGTGTGTCGTGGTGGCCTTGAAAATGATGTCAAGGCCACTAAAAGTCACTGGTGTCTGGTTAATCCCCCAATGTAGGCTGTCACCAAATTTGAAGACACTGGGTACAACAGTTCATGAGATATCGTGTTAACAAGAATCGGGACGTACGTACGGACAATGCTGAATACAGTCCCCCGTTCCGCGTTGCTGCGAGGGACAACATATGCAATATAATGGAGCATTGAAACTATAGAATGACATCACTGCTCAACATTAAGGACTATCAGCACAAAGTTTCAACAGCTGTCAACTGCAAAATTGAAAAATATAAGGGAGTTAGTTAAATAAAAGTATAAGCATTTTGATATGTTCCCTTGATCTTCTGATTAACATGATTTGGATGTGTGATTAAAGTGAGCAAGATACATTTTAACAGTACCAGTGTAGTCATAGCATCAAAAAACCAAGAACTGGTTATACATCATCAATCTCATGGAGTATGATGCAGGAGTACTAAGCATACTTACCTCATAGTTATCAACGATGCCCATTCTCTTCAAGGCCATTAACCGACTGAAATATATATCAAATGATAATCTACAGACACATAGCAATGATTTTCTATGGCCTATAAGCTTTATTAGATTATAGGATATTTATTTAGTGCACATATCCAGGTGTGGGGTTGTGACAACACTGAAAGAGTCTGCACACAAAGTTGACTCCAAGGTTTTTACAGCCGGTCACAGGTGGGCTCAATCCCGACACCTCAACCTCGCTGGATCACTAGCCTGCTCGCCCACCACAGATCTAAACACTAAGGGTTGGGTTGGATGTGTATAGCAATATGAGAATAAGAGTGGATTCAGCTATGGAAAGGGTTTTTATAAGATTTGTTGAAGGATCTGGATGTGTTTGTTAGCATGGTTAGTGTGAGAATAGAAGCTTTAACTGACACACAGTTAAAGGTCACATGCAACCAAAAAATCAAACATAATTAAAACACAATTATCACTTATTCATGACATATAATATACATTGCTGGTTATGAAAAAACATATAAACAAAATTATAAGCGTACAATCGCAAATCAAAAGTGCAATAAAGTGTACTTCGGTTTACTTCGGTTTACTTCCCAAGAAACGAAGCAGCCGGGATACCGAACCCAGTCAGAGCGGGTGGGTGTGCACTCAAGTGTAACAGCTGGTTCATTTGCAGATGCCCTCACGGCTCATTGTGTGTGCATATATAGAGATGTTGGGTTTTGTAAATACATGCTCATTTTTTGTGTATAACATTTTGCAATTAACAGACATCATAACCTGTCATGTGTTCAAGTATCACACCTGCCTGTCTGTGTAATTACATAATGTGACAGAGACCGAACTCGGGCCATAAATGAAATGCATTTTGTTTATGGTGTATAGCCTGATTGGTGTTAAGTTCAAATTGCATGTGGTCAGTGATAGCAGCTGTGTATTGAATATTGTCATTAGCAGACAGGCAGGCAGACACACAGGTGTCAATAAAACAAGACATTGAGTTTTGTCTGTGACAACGACATATCTATATCACAGTTAGAAATTCTGTCAACGCTAAATAATGGCATTGCTTTTAAGTATCGAACTGAGAAAGTGACTCGGTAAGAAGAACGTGTGGTGAAATAGACAGATGAAATTATATAAACAGTTAATTTACTGTCATAACATATAAAAAGCTGGCGCGCCTGTGAGATATCAACAAAACATTAGAAAAATAGCTCACACCAAAGCCTTCACCGAGTATTCACCGGACAACCCGCTTCCAAGCTGCGTGAACCTATTTCACTGCGCACGTGCTATGAGCGCAGCTCAGCTGTTGAAACCCGTTTTCCCCCGAAAAGTCGGGGGAAAATTAGTGAAACGTTTGAACTCCGATTTCGCGCGGTTTTTTTCATCGCGTTATTTTTCAACTTTATAAGTTGAATTTGCATTTTTGACGATTTGTTTCGGGTAAGTCCATACCGAAAGGTATCAGAATCTGCAAAGTTGTGTTTTACGTTGCATGTGACCTTTAATGTAGAGAGAAGCACAAATATCAGCCATCACCAATTTGGAAGTTTAACAATTGTCTCATGTCAAAAGCAGAAATGAAAAATAAAATTACTCCAACTTCAGAAAGTACAAGAGTGAGTGAGTGAGTTTAATTTTACGCCACACTCAGCAATATTGCAGCTATATGGCAGCAGTCTGTAAATAATCGAGTCTAGACCAGACAATCCAGTTATCAACAGCATGAGCATCGATCTGCGCATTTGGGATACGATGACATGTGTCAACCAAGTCAGCAAGCCTGACCACCCGATCCCGTTAGTCGCCTCTTATGACAAGCATAGTCGCCTTTTGTGGCAAGCATGGGTTGCTGAAGACCTATTCTACACCGGATCTTCATGGGTCCCGTTATTTGAAAATATCCCCGGTAGTTCTTGTCTGATTGTAATAAAGTATCCCAGTAGTGTAGGCTTTTCAAACTTTCTAATGCCCAGATGGTATAGTGACAGTTTGATCTTATTTCTGTGGGTTTTTTGCCTCGATATTTAATCATGTCATGTAAAAATATTATGTTTATTATATTATGTTTATTATTATGAAATTAAAAACACACATTTGATTTATTTGAATCCGTAAACTAAACTATTTACTTGGGTAAATAGGTATATACAGTATAGATTGCTGGTCAAAGCAGTTCATCGTAACATACAGTATTATCAATAGTAAGGACAGTATTAATATAAAGCTTGGGTAAATCAATGCCAAAATCAACTATTTACATACTACCATCAGAAGCCTGGAAAGTGCTGAGCATTTCTGTAAACAGCAAACAAAAACAAATCAAACACAAGTAGTATTATTAGTATTAACATCTCTTGAGTTCCTTCCCTACACCACATGGCCACCCCTTGTGGTTCATACTGACTGGTAATGTCTTTGACAGATGCCAATTAAGTGCTTTACAGTAAGAATCTGTCAATATCGACCTAGAGGAACAATATCCCGTGATCTGAATCTGTGATCTTTCAGCAATATTCCAGCTACATCACGGCGGGTGACACCAGAAATGGGCTTCATACATTGTACCCACGTGGGGATTCGAACCCGGGTCGTCGGCGTTACGCCTGTCTATTGTCTACTCTCTGGCTTCATCAGCTTTCTGCCTAGCCTATTATGTTAATTATGTTGTTTTCTTTGTCACATTGTTACATCCAGTATATATATACTTCCCCCTTCTTCATGTTCCATTATGCTTGACAACGATACAAGAATCTATATCGAAACGTCGCACTCACGAATAAAAAGAAGTTGTTATCCATAAAGTTTGTTCTATATTGTACTTCCCAACTTCTTAAATGCCACTCAAAGAAGCAAAAATATATGGACATACACTGTGACTTCATATTCTTTCAATTCTAACATTTTCTAACTCTCGCAGATGAAGTTAAACTTCAAAATGTTTTGATCTGTTATAATAATTAAAATGGAAATATTCATGTGTCAAGAAGATGACTACTTTTTCAAATCAATTCCAAGACGAAACTGTATTTCATTTTTGCTAATCAATGTAAGGACACACTCTCATACTACCAATTGCACATGCGGGTGGTGCAGCAGAGATCACATCCCAATCAAGATATCTGAGATAACATCAGGGTACTTGCTGGGTAAAAACAATAACAAAAGCAATGAATAGTCTCGGGAAATTATTCCAAATCAGTCTCCCTTTAACTTAAAGGAACATTGATCCAGAGCAATTTCCGAAGACTGGTTGTTGCTTTTGTTATTGTTATTCTCCCGTGAGTACCCGGATAATATTCCAGAATCCTATGCTGGTTTGCGATCTCAGTTGCACCACCCGCAAGCGCAATTGGTAGCATAAGCATACAATGATCAACAAAGATGAACTATTTTTTACTCATTAATATTTCCACCTTCATTATTATGATAACATTTTGAAGTTTGACTTCATCCACCAGTGGTGTCACTCACAGGCAAATTGTAGCGCAAATAGGGTTGCACAACAAAGATAAAATGACCAGTCTTCCCATATATGCGAGCGCGAAGCGAGCAAAGGTTTCGCAACGTGCTTCCCTCGCTTCAAAAAATATTTTTAATATTAAAATAAAATATCTCCATCATCAAAGGTAGACACCCATTTCCTCACAGGGTTGTGCTCTCAGATTTCCAACCTCATATTTAATAATTACTCACGTGCAATATATTTAATTCAACATTTTAAGCGCAAATTGTGGCATGTCAAGTCGTTCTTTGCCTCCATTACCCCTGCCAGCTTCCGGTTCAACGGAGTGAAGGAACAAGAATAAGCAGAAATTAAACACAAATATCATATTTTATAATTTTACCGTGAAACTGTTGGGGATGATTTTTCTTATCTGCCGTCATTATTGTTCGAATTACGTAACATTTATTCTACAGAAACACTTTTGGCGTAATGGGTAAATGAAAGCATATTTAAATTTAACTCCCCTGTTCCTTCAGTTAAAAACTGTATATACCTACTTACTTAAGTAAATTTTCAGATTTTTCTAGCAATGGCAAAGTGGGGTTGTTAAATTTACGGATTCAAGCAAATCAAATGAGTGTTTTTAATCCCATAGGTAATAGACATCATATGTTTGTTTACATCACGTAATTAAAAATAAAGTAAAAAACACAGAAATAAGATCAAATTGGGCCAGTCATAATACCATCCAAACATAAGAAAATTAAAAAAAGCCTTCACTGCTGGGATACTACGATCAGGCAAAACCTGCATGGGATATTTTCAAATGACGCCATCTGATAGGCATCGACCCTTTCTAATTTCCTACTGCTTAGGTTGAAAACCTTTTGCCAAGATTGACAGTAGCCAAGTCCCCATGTCTGTCACGGTTGAGGTAGCAGAGACTGATCAGCTCGCAGCTTGGATTCTTAATTAGATTGTTAGCATGAAACATTAATCGTTAATGGCTCTGGATCAGTGCCCATTTAAGAACACACACAACATGACCATCACAAGACATTTTCAGATTCTAATTTTATCCTTCGCAATACAATGTCAATTTAAGATCTAATCAATGTGTGTGTTTTCTGTTTATGTTGGGTCTTTGTATCAGTGGGGCCTGTATATCACAGTGTACACCTAGGATTATATTGGCTATTCATTTGAATTAAAGTTTGAATAGCAAATGAATTTTGAATAGCAAATGATTACGAACAGACACTTGAGCCGTCTAGGTACTAGGTATTACCTTCAACATATGGAAAAATAAGATTAAAAACCTACACCAACAATCGATTATTGGTCTTGTTCCTACAACTGACCTGTATGGGTTGCTGTCAACTACTTCCGAACTCATTTGCGAAATTTTCTGACGAACAGCTGTTTGGTTTCTTCGTCTTTCTCGTTGAAGTTCATCCTCCAGTTCCGCTATTCGTAGCTTTAAATCATCGAAACTTGCCATCGTTGACCGTCCGAATGCAACCTCTAAGACACTTTCTTTGCTAAATGTTATGTATATACAATATGTGTCCGAATCCGAAAAAGTGATTTGATGGGAAAAGCAACGTGTTGTTACGTCAAGCTCACGATCACCTATAAGTCAAGCCTGCTTAGCGTAAAGGGAGGTAGCACTTCCTACTTCCGTGTACGGAGTTTTGAGTACAAGGTGCGCTTCAGCATACAAGAGTTCTCTAAAGAGCGACAATCTGCAGGATTATATCGAAATATCATGCTTTTGTAGTCGTAACTATGCATCACAGTGCATAGCTGGGGATTATATTAGCTATTCATTTGAATTATATTTTGAATAATAAATTAATTTTAAATAGCAAATGAACGATTAACATAAAAATGAAAATGACAACATTTGGTCGTGATATTGAAGGTAATAAACCTATGATTGTTCGACGCGGCTCGTTGGTCTAGGGGTATGATTCTCGCTTAGGGTGCGAGAGGTCCCGGGTTCAAATCCCGGACGAGCCCAACTATTTTATTCTATTTTTTTTTAATCATTAAAGGCAACTTTCTAAAGTGATGATGACGTTGTCCACATCAATGACTACAATAAACATTCAACAGTAATGACACAGCTCTACATGTCAGGACATGGTCAATCTCGCTGACTTGGTACAGGTCCTACACATCTCATTGTATCATGATGTTGATCACTGGATTGTCTGGTCCAGACTGGATTATTTATAGACTGACGCCATGTAGCTGTAATATTGCTGAGTGCGGCGTTAAACGATATAACACTATCAACACCACTGGCACAGCTGTACATACACAACGACCAACACTGTGTTGTGCAGACAATTCTGAACATATCACGATCAGCACCACCAGGGGTGTTGGACCCAAGTAGCATGTTCAAGGACTCCGAGCTAATTTTGAAGATACCTCAAATAGGGAGAAATTAAGGCGACCATAAGTGGTGCACTTGTGCCCAATCCCTCAAATTTGTCTTTTGGACAATAAAATATATTTAAAACGAAAATTCGAAAAAACTAAAGTGAAAGTGACATTAACATTTCGCAGGATTTCCCGAAAAAAACGACGAAAATGCGACTGAAGCTCAAGCCGTTCGTGGAGGTAGCAAGGCGCGAGGGCAAGGACTCTATTTTCAAAACATATTATATAAACGATAATTTGTTCAATCTGAACGAGAAACTGAACACTTTAAACTTTTGTGAAATAAATTAGAAACTCAACCATAGAAGAGAATTCGAACGTAATGATGTAACCGTGACGGGACGGTGATTGGAAAAAAGGACACCGGAAAAATAACTATCATAAAACATCCTGTTCTCCAGTTATTTACTTTGTTTATACTGTATTTTATAAATACCATTTCACTTTCATCTTCAGTAAAAAAAAAGTTTCCTGTTCTCCAGTAATTTGCAAAACTAATTTTACAACAGCTGTTTTATAAACGTCCTGTTCTCCAATTATTTATAACTGTTCATGTCTTGATGTCATGTATTATACTTGAATAAATACATTAATTTTATAAGTAACGTTCAAATGTGGCTCAGAAAAAATTATGTAATGCTATTGATGATGTCGCCGGCAGCCGTATTTCTTCTTTCTTCTGTCCGACGGCTGCCTCTCAACTATGAAATAATAAGAAGTTGTACGTGCTACCTGTATCTGACGCACAAGTAATTCACGGGCTTTTGCCTGTGACGTCAGGACAATTAATATTGTTATGGCTTTACTGGCTGATTTGATTTTATGACTTTTTTTCCTATGACTATTTTCCCTACAACCGACGGGGACACGTCATGAAAAGTTTTGAGCCTGTAATAAATTTACTTCTGATATGTGCATGATAAAAAATACTGTATGATAATTGATATTGAAGAATGGTTTATATCATTCACATAATCGTAATATTGACATACACATGTCGCTAGTTTCCGGTCACGTGACATTTAATCACATGTACCCCTATTGAAACGGCAGAAATGGATAAGCTTGAGTACAGATTAGTGCCCATACAAAAGGTATGGGACCAAACACTTTTATAGTGGAGCGGCATGGTAACAAATATATAATACTTGGAGGCAGGAAAGTTTATATTTTGCACATAGGTGGCCTATGGTATTCTTAAGATAAAATGATCGGGAGGCAGGCCATATTTACTCCAGTTTAAAATTTATTAACTAATGAAATTGCTAAAAATTGAAACGCCAGTGATCGAAGCATCATAAAATCACTATTGTTTCATACTTACTCCCTTACATGAAAATTACCTCCCTTTACACAAAATGTCTCTCCCTTTATGAACTTGACTAGTAATAGAATGAGAGTGACCTCTCTTGTGTGTTTCTGAATTGAATTTCAATGAAGATTTCTGATGCTTTTTGGGGTAATTTTGAGTGAGAAAGGTTGATTATGTTGTGAAATATTTTAAGTTTATCACATACTGAAGTCATGGCCTGTAGTACAGGCTTACCAACCGTTGGTTCGTCAGATACTAGCAAGTTACAAACAAATTGGTCAATTTGTGCATTATGTCAGATAGAAGATGACAGCAAATTAGTTGATCCATCCAATGTCACAAGACAAAACATGAAAGGTGCTGGCTTTAGAAAACTGGAAATTAATTTGACCAAATTTTTAGAGTTGCGTTCATTACCACTGAATATTGAACTGTCAAGATTAGATGATGGGAATGGAATCCAGAATACTCTGTTAGAAAATCAAGCAAAATGGCACAAGCACTGTTTAGACAAGTGTGGGGATAGAGCAGTTGAGAGAGCTATGAAAAGGGCACAAAAATTAGTGGAAAATGAACATCTACCAACAGCACCCGTGAAAAAGAAACTGAGAATAAGTTTACATAATTCTGAAAATGAATTACCCACGGACACAATCCACAGTTCTGATACATCTGTGTGTTTCTTGTGTGACTTACCAAAAGATAGACATGACCCTGTGGCTCAAACAATGACATTTGATTCTAACATTCGCTTGATGGCTCATGAACTTCAGGATAGAAAACGGATAGGCAAGTTATCTGCAGGTGATGGAATTGCACTTGATGTTGTGCATCATAAACATTGCTACACAGATCTATATACAAAATACAGATCATCTCTGAGAGCAAAAAACAACCAACGGCAGAATGAAATCGGACCATATTCAATAGCTTTTGCAGAATTAATTTCATATGTAGAGGATCACAGATGTGAGGTAAATTTAGTTTTGAAGTTGGCAGACATTGTGAAATTGTTTACAAGAAGACTTCAGCAACTTGGTAACAACAGAACTGTTAATACTTCCAGACTGAAAGAAGCTTTGCTTGCTGAAATACTGCTTAGAAGCAGATGATGTTATCAGATGAAAGTTCAGATAGCGATGCTGTGACTTTCATGCGGGCAGCTAAAATTATTAGAAGAGACATTTTCACAAAGCATTCAGAGTCAAATAAATCAGAAAACCCATTAAAACAAACTAGGAACCACTGACACTACTGACTCTCATACAAATGATACTTGGTTGTACTTGCCTCACAAGTGAAAAGGATAATACAACAGGTATCTCAGAAGCCGCGTCTTCCATTTCCTAACTGCTGATATTCAACTGCCTGCGAAGAGAGAGAAAATGTCTCATGGCACATGTCGTCATAATCCAGACAGAGAAACTGCACTGCCATTATACTTAGGACTTCTCATTCCCAGTAAAACTCGGAAACGAGACTTGGTGGATATTCTCTTTGAAAGAGGACTGTGACAGACATTCAGAGTGTCAACGAACCTTGCAAACCAGATGATTGCAAGATATGAGCAGCAAGGAGTTGTTTGCCCATCACACCTTAAAGCCCATGTTTTTACAACTGGCAATTTTGACAACATAGATCACAACCTATCATCAACGAGGGTAGGGTATTGTCTTATTGATGTTTTTTTACCATCGTCACTGTTCCCATGTATAAACTATAATTTCTATGTATACAAAGACTCCGATGGGGACTTCTGATCACAATACAGTTTATTAAGTTCCTTTGTATTGTCAAAAATTAAAGTCAGAGAAGCCTGACTTAAGTTAGAGTTTTACTCAAATTTGAGAAAACGCAGGGAAATGCATTTCCCAGAATGAACTGAAATCAATATCAAATCCAAACATAGTAGACAATTTGAGTTTTGGTAGATAGATTACTTAAGTTGTTTGGGCTTGTTTCAGTTGTGTTAAAAATTCAGCTGTTTCAAATTGTCAACTCAGTTTGAAATTTGAGTAAAAACTTAAGTTTGTTTCGAGAAATCGGGGCCTGATCAATGAAAGCAACACGAGCAGATCTCCATATAGTATACATGGTAAAGGTGCGACTCAAGAAAGTTATCTTGTTCGAGTCAAACGTGATATTGCTGGTATCAGAGGCAAGAGTCACAGAACAGCCTCCATATTAAGAAACATGACTCTGTGGCATTATTCACCCCTTACCCCACCCCCAACCCCCGCACCGGAGAGACATCCGATGGGGGAACACATAACTTTGCCCGCAGACAGCTTTCCCTTCCCATATATGGAATGAGGAAAGCCAGGTTTATTCTTAGAAATCAAGAGATATCCTTAGAAAAAGGTTACCGAAAACTATATAGCCTGGTGAACACTTATGAATAACACGGGGGATTGCAGACGAGGTAATACTGGTCAGCAGCTACAGCTTTATTGGGACATGGTCAGAAATGCCAGTTATACTAATGAGATTTGTATATGATTGTCAAACGGCAGAGCTGGGCTGTCAGTCTTGTATCCAGCACCAGAATAAATTGTTGTGGACTTTTGAATAGAAGTCCTATCCACCAGAGTATCAACATTCTTTAGGCAGATACTTGTGTAGTAAAAGCAAGTATAGATGAACTGCACGCAATGAACCTGAGAGAGATTGACTGTAGTGCAGTATAGGTGTTGTTTTTATACCAGCGTCATTGGAAACATGTCTGACATTGTAAACACATCAAAGAACTCTGATCAATTGTAGCTGATAATCGAGTTCTTCCGTCACAACTTTTCTATCTTCAGCAGGCAGTTTTCGCAACGATTGGTCTTTGGAAGCAAAGATAAATGTTCCAATCCTATGTTTGTATGGAAGCCTGTATTGGGATAGATTGACGCATTTATG